ATAAGACCTCCCCCCCCCCCCCCCCCCAGGCTATAGATAACATGATAAAATGGACTTGACTTCCAGTTACAACTGGTTTTCTTTTCAGACTGTCTTTCATACCTATTTCTGCACTGGTGAAATGGTCAGATTGTGGGCCTTGAAGCTGTAAGACTGAACATGAGAGATACCAGTTCTGTGTTTCCCTGAACTTTGGCAGCATTCAAGAGATCATAGAATCACAGAATCAGAATAGTTTGGGTTGGAAAGGACCTTTAAGGGTCATCTACTCCAACCCCCCTGCAATGAGCAGGGACATCTTCAGCCAGATCAGGCTGCTCAAAGCCCCATCCAACCTGACCTTGAATATTTCCAGGGATGGGCCATCTACCACCTCTCCGGGCAACCTGGGCCAGTGTTTCACCACCCTCATCGTAAAAAATGTCCTCCTTGTGTATCTAGTCTAAATCTACCCTCTTTCAGTTTAAAACCATGACCCCTTGTCCTATTGCAACAGGCCCTGCTAAAAAATTTGTCCCCATCTTTCCTATAAGCCCCCTTTAAGTATAAAAGGGCTGCAATCAGGTCTTCCTGCAGCCTTCTCTTCTCCAGGCTGGACAACCCCAGCTCCCTCAGCCTTTCCTCATAGGAGAGAGGTGCTCCAGCCCTCTGACCATTTTCATGGTCTCCTCTGGACCCGCTCCAACAGGTCTGTGTCCTTCCTGTGCTGAGGGCCCCAGAGCCGGACGCAGGACTCCGGGTGGGGTATCACCAGAGCAGAGGCAGGGGGGCAGAATCCCCTCCCTCAACCTGCTGGCCATGCTGCTGGGAATGCAGCCCAGGACATGGTTGGCCTTCTGTGCTGCCAGCGCACATTGCTGACTCATGTCCAGATGATTGGATTTACAATTTAAAGATTGCATTTACAACCTGACCTCCATATCTACCAAATAGCTGTTTGGCAAAATAGTTTTCTTGAGTGGCACACCCCAATTCTGGATTCAGCTCAGCGCTGTTTGATGGGGCTGTTTTGTGGGAAGAGGTAGCTTCCTCCTCCTGCAGTGGGTTCAGGTCCAGCCAGGAGACACTTTGGATGTTGGCATGAGGCAGTACAGTCCTTCAGCAGTCCTGGCTGCTGTTAGCAAGAGGTGATTCTAGCAACGGAGCATGCCTGGAACATAATGCTTATTTCTTTTATTTGCCCCTTACTTTGGTGTCTAGCAGGCACAACCTCTGAGCCCGATGGCATGACAGTAGCTTTCATCACTTTTGGAAATTTGGGACTATGTGGACTCAAAACTGCTCCCTTTGCATGGGAGGGCTGAGATAAGCTCCACGTCTGAGCTCCAATCCTGGGTCTTACTTGAATCTTTTCCATTTCCCCCTAACTGTGGAGCTTTAAAAGTTAAACAGCAAGCCTCTTCTCTTCAGACCCTCTTCTTTCTTTCTTGCTCTCATGTTCGTTCTCATTCCAGCTCCCTAAAGGGGAAAAACAGATGCCACTTGCAGTTCACTGCTGCGTATCACATTTATTGCCTCGGTCTTGCTCTCTCTCAGAGCATGAACCCAGCTTTCCAACTTCTTATCAGTTTGACAGGCTGTGACTGTTGTCGTGGTGACCAGCATAGTTGCACTATCATCATGCACAGGAGGCAGTGAAAGGGATGCCTCGACCTGTGGGTGTATCTCTGTGTGTGCACAATATGCCAGTAAGTCACTGGTATACATGAAGAGAAGATCCAAGTCTTGGTCTATGTATGTGAAAGAAGAAGCAAACACAAAATGGAGAAGCGTGAAAAACTAATAGCTACAAAAGAAGAAATGAGAATGTGTGTAGGAGTTGCAAATGCTCAGCGTTTCTCAGCATCTGATCCGTCTACCCGTAATTTAGTGCATTTGTATTTGAGAGATGCTTGCCCGCCAGCCTGCTGTCTCTTTGCCTTTCTGTCTTTTTCTACCCACTCCGTTTCTTCCACTTAGGTTTATGGACATGAGAAAGTATAACATTAGTAACACTTCTGAGTCACGTTTTCCATCCAGACACAGCATGCTTAACCCGTTCATACACGCATCCCTGTACAACATCGACTCCAATTCACTAACTACTCACGTGAATTGAGCAGACCGATTCGGTGGTGCCCTGTCACAGATTATCTCCTAGGTGCTAACAGAAAGCCCTGCTCTGAGCAGCATACGATCCAAGTGGAAGACAAGGAACAACAGATGGAAGGAGATGGGTGAGGGAGCACAGGGAAACAGTGAGACATCATTACTCAGCACATGGGCAACGGTGTCAGCACACCAGCTGCCTAACGCTTGGGACAGCTTTTGCAGGCTACGCAGCATGTTCTTCTTTTAGCATTGGCTAATCTAGGTTCACTTGGATATTGTCAGCTTTCAGCCATCGAAGACAATGTGGGATGGGGTAACCTAGATAAAACCAGATCCTGGCTAGTACAGGCTATATGTTAGTTAGGGGATAAGAACATATTCAAGAATCATAGAATACCAGGTTGGAAGGGACCTCAAGGATCTTTTGGTCCAACCTTTCTAGACAAGGTCTATTCAGGTCTTCTACATGTGAAAGGCTTGTGTTTTACCTGTCCGGGGTCCAAGTGGGGCACAGCCCATCAGCTCACATGCCCTGTGTTACATGCGCGGCGGCATGGCGGCGTAGCCTTGGTGGCTATGGGGAGGAAATGTCTGGTTAATCCCCAGCCCAGCTAGTCTTCCGTGGCTAAGAGAGTTGAATATGGTTGGTTTACTGTAAAAGCTGGCCTTTCTGAACACTTATTACCAGGCATAGCTCCACAGACATCAACAGAACCCTGCAGTAGACCCAGAATCGTGGGAAGGTACGTCTGATCTGCTGCCTGTCTTGTTTTGGTTATGTATCTGTGCCCTCAGCATTGCCCTTGCCTGTGTTTGCTTATCTGTGACTTGCAGAGGCCTTGCAGCAGATAGGATGCTCTGCTAGCCCTGCCCACCCTCTGCTCGCATCTGTGTACCTCCAGACAGCCTGCGCAGGGGGAGATCTCTGTGGGAAGCATTGGGAGGGGGAGCTGATGCAGCAGATCTGTCTCCCGGGAAGGTCTCTAAGGCGATGCTTCAGGGCAGGCTGGGTTTGAGTGGTGGTCGGTGGGGAGAAGGGGTATGCTTGTGAACAACATGATTCAGCCCTCATGCCAGGGCTCCCGGTGGGAGGTGCTGCATCTCCCGGCTGAAGGATCAGAGCCCTGCTGAGTAACGAGGAGAGGTTTAAAGATGTCATGGGCTGGAGCTTCTGTCATGTAAAATTCATGGCGCTAGCAGGCCATCTTAAATAAAACATCACCCTCCCTGGAAAAGACAGAAAGTCTTCATTTCATGCTTGTAAAAAAAACACAAAGAAAGGATGTTTAAAGAATGAGGGAATTCGGGACTGTCTGGTGTGTGCTGGTCTGATGTGACCCCGAATCTGCTCTCACAAAAGCTTTGCGCTGGAATGACACGGGCATGTTGCCCATGAGGAAGCATAGCAGTGAGGGCAACATCGCTCCAGCTTAGAGGAGAGGACTCGTGCTTTCTGATTAGCAGAAACAGAGGAGCTGCGTTTCTCACCTCTGCAACAGCTTCAGCTTCTGGGGTGGCTCCACGAACTTCAGTGGCAACCATGCATGGTGCCGGCGGGTGACGGAGCAGACCTGGACCAGCTCTCTTGTTACAGGACAGCTGATAACCTGGCTCCCGTTACACTTCTCCTTCTGCTTTTTGTTTGCCTGCCCGCCTGTGCCTATTGCCCTGTGCTCATTAGTACTTCTGTTACTGAGATCAGACTGTTTTCCTTAGGCTGCTCATCACTCTCCTAGGTGTTGTGTATACTGAAATTTCTAAGGGACTTGTGAAAGTTCCGTGTACCTTGAGGTAGCAAGGCACGATTATATGGCCCTTCCTTTGTAACATGAGTTCTTCCTCTTCTGGGAAGCCTGATAGCTGAAGAAGAAGCTATTGTTTGTTGTTGTTACAAAAGGCTCTTGAGATAAATGGGAATCTGGCACCCACAACTAACCGCGTAATTTCAGAAGGGTAACTGAAATGGCTGGAAAGCGGTTTTTGCTACTAATGAGGGCAGTGAATAATTGCTGCCTTCGGTTCTTTTTCAGGGCAGTATTAGTTTGCTGGTTTTAACAAGATAGAGAACGCATGTGTCGGTGACTGCTAAAGTACATTTCATTTTTGTATGAATTGATCCCAACAAAGTATAGTTACAGAAAATTCAGTGCGATATCACATGTGATGTGTTGCAGGTGATAGGTAGCAGAAGTGACCCATGTGCAAGTCTCATGTGGGGGACGGAAAAAAAATGGAAGGTTTGGGGTATAAGAAGCCATATTCATGACTTTCTTCCAAACCCACTGGTTTACCTGGGAGCAATGTTAGAATCACATGGCACAGCAGTGTTAAATGATGATGAGACAGGGATGCATGGCTCCAGCCAGCCTGTATCACCCAGGCCGTTTCAGCAAGTTTGCAGGACATGTCCCATGTTCTTAAAACAACGCTGAGCATCCCCGCATGTGATTCTCAGTCACCCCCTCTGAAACACGGAGCTGAGTTCCCGAGCCATAAGATGGCCTAGCCAGATGCCTGCCTTTTTCCCCATTCATTTGTGCCGTTTCTGTTTGCAGGAAGATCTACAGTTGCCTGCCCCGCGTGGAGGACGTAAATTGTGTGGCTTTAGCTACAGTGCATACCTAATGCTCTGTGACAGTGTGGTTTTTGCTGGAGAAAGAAATATTATTTGTAGTTGGATATTGAGTTGGATCTGGTCCAGTCGTCTTTGTCTCTGCCTATGTTGTTTCTTTGGAAGTTCTTGTTTCTTTTTTGGGAGGAGTCACCTAGATGGTACCAGCAATTAGCTCAGGGAGGCAGGCTACCTGGGGCAGGAGTTTCAGGGCTTGAGATGTAATAGAGAAGACAGATGAAAACAGCTTTTCTGAATTTGAGTGTATGCAGTGTGTTGGTGGATTGTCAAAGAGGCAGTTGGGACCCCAAGAGAGCCCTGGTTCCTGGGGCAGCAGTTCCTGGGCAGAGACAGAAAAGGTGTCAGCAAGCACCAGGCTCTCCCAGCCAGCTCAACCCCTTCCCTTTTCCCCATGACAGGAGCAGCCTGTCCTCATGCTTTCGTCCTCTCAGCAGCTAAATCCAATGTTTCTTGCAGTTTTGAAGCCAAGAGCCGTCTGTGCAGAAGCTCCGGCTACTGGTGGTGTCCTGGGGAGGTGGGCAAGCAGGATTCCCATGCGGGGCTCCCCTCTTGCCGAGATGACTTGCCCCAGCAAGCAGCTTCTGCTGGGGCTGTTGCCAGATACGCAGCCCATAAAGGCATGGGACTCATCAGCTGTACAATGGACCCCGTGCCTTCACAGACCATATACATCTGAATTTTGTCGTGTGAGTGGGAACTCAGAAGACCTGTGGGCCTTGGCACTAGTTTATGACAATTTTTGTGACGGTTAATTTCTGGAAGTTTAGGCTATGGTTCATCTGCTCTAAAATACATATATTGATGCCTGGGCTACTCGTTCTGAATTTCTTTTATTGTTGATGGAGAGAATTAGGCAGTGCTGGTATGTTGCTTGACTGGCCTGTTTTAGATGTCTACATTTGCTTGAGAGGAAGGGCACTGCCTATGCCCATGCCTTTTTTTCTGGCTATAAAAGCAGTCTGGATTATCTGCAGGGATGTAGACTTCTTCACACTGGCCATGCAAGGTTAGTAAAAGGATTCATATCCCCAGAGCTTGAATCTCCCATTAACTCATGCACTGAGCAAAGTCTCTGGATTCCTCAGACAGGCCAGATGAAAACCGGGCAGGTAGAGACCTGGACACAGAGGGTCCCTGTTAGGTCCCAGCCATAGGAGCCCTCTCCCCCTTGATGGGATCCACCCTGGCTTGGTTGTCCGATGGATCTTGACTGGAGTTGTGACCACTAACTTGATGAATTAAAAGCTGGTGCAGGATTTTGTTGCCTCGAGTTGATTTGTTTGTGCCAAGGAAGAAAGGTCTCAGAAAGTACACTTGAACCTCTGGACAAGTTCTCTGTTGCTGAACTTGACTTTTGTCTAGCTGCTGAGATCTTGGGTCTACTGTTGCAGGAGTTATGAACATCTTCAAGTGCAGTGTTTCTATCATCCTTCAGACTCTGCCTGATTCCCTGCCTCCCATGACCCCCTGGCACCTTTTCTGCTCCATATCCTTGTCCCTTGTTACCTGCATCACTGTTTTGCCTTTTCATAGCCTCTCTGTGCTCTTGTCTGGTTTGGTTTGCTCACTGCTGCATGTGCTTTGTTTTGTTGACCACCACGGCATGAGACCTGCAAGGTCTCTTGATTAAGTCTGACTTTGCCTTTTAAAAAGAGGCCTGAGATCTCACTAACCCACCCAAAGAACTGAAAAAACAAACTACCCCAAACAAGACAGACAGGAAAATATACAGTGGATCTTTCTGTGCTCTCATAAGTAAAAGTCAGACAATCACATGGTCTTCTAAAAATAACACCCATAGCGAGCGTTTCAGTAGGAATAATACTGACCTAGTTTGCATGTTGCCCACATGCAAAAAATAAGTTGGTGAGGAAAACCCAATTGCCTGATGCAGTATTTGCATTTGCTGAACCAGATTTGAATTGAGAGGTGGTTAATTAGATCTTATATTCTCCTCTCGGCAACCTCTCCGGAGGTTTGAGGGAAGAGGGGAAGGGGGGATGCTCGCTGGCTGCATGACCCACAGCAGTCGCTTGCCTTCTGCGTGGGCTGGATGTGTGGGTTGCGCCTGCGTGGTGCAGTCAGCGAGGTTCCTTATGAGCTGAAGTCCTCTTCTGTAGACTCAGTCTGGGATGTTCATGTCTGGAGAAAGGGCAGAACATCTCTGTGATCAGAGGACCTGAATCTAGGTATGTGAATTTAGCTTTCAGTCTCCATCTGTGAGGCAGATAAAACATTCTGGTATGGAAGGAAACCTCCCTTGACGGCCCAGCTCCTGCCCACCCCAGGAGCTCTGTCTGTGCTTGTCCCTGCAGCCAGCACTGCACCATAGCCCTGGGATGGGAGCTGTACCATGGTGGGCCCGAGAGCGTCTTGCACTAGCCCCTGCCTGCCAGCTCCTTCTCATCCCGCCTGGGGAGATGCTGCTTGGGTGCTGGCCTGGGCCTGGACCTGGACCTGCTCCCTGTGGGCAGCTCAGTGTCAGTGACAGCA